AGCTCTGGCCTGGGCAGGACCGCTACTTAGCCTAACTACTTCCTGTCAGAGAGATTAGAGAGCAGGATGATCACACACGCTACGCTGCCAGGCCATTTCTCACTTCGTAATGCCAGACGTTTAGCACGGCCCCACAGTCCCAATCAATGAGTCTCATTACGCACAGCGATATTTCTGACCTGTGTGTCACGGCAAGATGATATGAGGAGAGGGAAAGTGGTTATAGCCACCTATCAAAGGAATCGTCCACTGTCCTGCTGTGAGATATTGGATGGAAAGATGTGACCTGTAGCTGGAGCAGCTCTCACGTCATCAGGACAGATATGACCAAGGTATCTCAGCTCTTCATCTCACTCTGCAAGAACTGAAGACCCATCTTTCCCTTCTGTGAGGGGACACGGAGAGGGCAGGAAGGCGGGAATGCAAGAAAGGCACAAGGGAGAAGGCGTATAAAAAAAGCCCAGAGGAAGTTCAGCATCCTGTGTTAAATCGCGTCTGTTTCCTAATGAAACCTGCACTTCATTGTCAAACCGAAGCCATCCCTCTGGTCGCCACGACCTCCGGCAGACAGCGACTTGGCATCACAAAAAGGACACTGATTTCAAATAGCTGACAAACTGGAGTATGATCTTGAAAACAAAATTACTCAGAGGAAACATTAAAGTCACTTCTAAGCAATTTCTAACTGAACATTACAACAATAACTGCTGTTTTGTTAGAGGTGCTTCTGAAAGGGGAAAACTAAACATTAAGGTTAATCACAAATTGCCTGCACGATTTGCTCCAACAAAAATTAAATGAATGTGGGATGATGACATTCGCAGAATCAGTTGCGATGTGAATATGTAGGTCATCGCAAATACAAAACACACATTTTCTCTGACACGCAGGGAACGTTCTCTGCGGCTGGCTGGTGGTACGGCGGCCAAGAACTGCAGGCCCCTCACTGGAAACAACCACATGAACTATCACAGTCATACTAGACCAATTAGTTTGCACAGTTCTATTTATGGAACCTTTAGCAGCCATGAACTTGGGTCAGAAACCATGAGAAAGTGAACAATATGTACTTTGATGTTTTCTGTTGATTGCTGAGCCGTGCTACGTGGCTGGAGGAGTGGATGGCTTCAGATAGTATGACACAGCTGCCCAAAATAAAAAAAAATAAAAAGGATGACAAGGGAGTAAGAAAGGAGCGTGAAAACAGAGTAAAAGGGGGAGGGTTGACAGAGAGAGGGGGAGGTGGATGAAGCAGGCAGCGGGGAATCCAGCAGTGACGGCAGCGACCAGAGAGAACAACATGCCAAACCCTGGAAGTCATTTCCTGCTTTGTCGAAGACTTTTATGGAATTCTAGCAGCGTGGCTAACGTCACAGCGAGAAAGGAGAGACGGAGAGACGGAGAGGACGACTCCATGCCCCCGGCCCCCCCCCCCTTTCCCTCCCATTTTCTTCTCCATCCAGTCCCTCTACCCTCAGCTGTCTTTTGTGAGGCGAAGCAGAGCCAATACAACCAGGGTACCTCCAGGAGTGGAAGTGTAGCAACACTCTCACCAATCCTTTATGGGTGCTAGTTAATGCTACTTACTCCAAGACTTAGTTTTAATGTGTTATTCCTATCTATAGGTCTGACTTTAGGGGCATGGAGTACACCATTATCACTGTCCTTTCCACCTTTAACAGATAGACAGATAAGACAGATAGATAGATACTTTATTTATCCCGAGGGAAATTCAAGTGAAATTCATTAACGTGTGCAAAATAGCAATGCATTTATGTGAGCTTACTTTTAGTGCTTACTGTAAGCAACAGTTTGCCAGCCTTCAAAGCTAGATAACTTGGGAACAATCCCTTTAAATCCAATAAAACTCCCGCCAGCTAATGTTGTTTGTGCAATATTTGTTTTCCCTTCTAAATGGCACAAAATGAGCTTTTAGAGAGGAGGGCAGCACTTTTGGAAAACATAAACAAAGTCGGAGAAAGCAGCAGTGATGGTAAGCGGGAGGATGAAAGGATTACACGAGCAGGGGACCGGGGGGTGGTCAATCAGCTGGCTTTAAATACTGCTCTCCTGGACGGCTGCAGGGGAAATGGAAGCAGCATTCGCTACTGTGATCAATAGCTAAGTGCCTTCCTGGCATTTGTCTATTTAATCCATTATCGAAGGCCATTTGAGCTTGCGATGTGGACGAGAGACCTGCAGCTCGCGGGAAGAGTTGAAAGATGAAGCATGATACATGTGAGCGAAACACACCCACTGACACCAGCCCCCAACCCCGCTCACGTGTGGAAACACATGCACGAGTACTACTAATGAGAACACTGGCCATCGTATGGAAGACTGCAGACGTTGGCACATTTTCACACAAACTGCTTCTAAAAGCTACAAACAGCGACAAATGTTTATGACAGAAAAAAAAAAATCCCACAGCACTGGCAGCCTCGTGGAAAGCAATTACTGAATCACAAGAGGTCCTTCATTTTGGAGTGCGAGAGACTGAGAGACAGAAAGAGGACAGAGAGAGATTTGTCATTGGATGTGCTTTCAATGTGAGACTGACGCATTGCCTGCCAAAAACACTTACGTGTCCCTTCTCACAGCAGCATGTATACGTGCATGTACATCTGCACGTGTGCTTTATCTATGTATAACCACCACAGCCAGGCAATCAGCAAATCCAACGGCGGGTATGTGACAGCACTTAAGAGGTGTTCCGTCAGGACTGTGCAGCACTGTCCCCAGTGAGAGCTCGGTAGTACACAAACAGGTTACTGGCAAAAAAGTAAGTCACATGAGAACAGTTTGCTTACAGTTGTTCTTAATCTCATAACGTAACTCATTAACTTCTCTCACCTCAGATTGTACGCCAACACAATAATACATAGTCTTGGTCTTCACAAGAAAGTCTTCATTGAAAAATCAAGTTTAAGATATTATTTCTTACAAATTTCAACCTAGATCTTGGTCTAAACTGTTCCAAATGACCATTAAGAAAATGTATATTTTCTGGACCATTGAAAACATATCTACATTGCCTCTTCCAAGCACAAAATACTGTGTGTGAGCTAACAAGTGTACAGTCTGTTGCAGTGTGTGCCCATGTGGAAAAACCGTTAATGATTACAATGCAAAACAACCTGTTGACTCAGGGTAGGAGGGAGACGGCAATTAAATGAAATGTCCCCACACTCACTCTGTGAAACCAGTCAAGAGGCACAAATACACTCACCCAGCAGTGTTTAATCTCACTGCAAGAGTTCTGCTCTTAGAGGGCCTATTACCTTTAAACATGCTTCAGTTAGCTAATTTAACTGCAATAATGGTGGTAGTAGTATGATAATGTAGAGGGGATTTAAATGTTTTAAAATGGTAATCAAGGGTGAAATTACGATAGTGGCCCAAACAACCATGCACACCCACGTCCTGTTATTTTAATTTGGCGCAACAACAACCAACAGCCATCCATGTTCAACAAATCAAAACTACTGTCAACTGTGGATGGCAAGACCTCAAGCCTCCGGAATTCTGAACAGATAAAAAACAACAAGTCATCAGCAAAACAGCTACATCCTTAAGAAAATGAAAACAGAAATTAGGAAATGGTGTGCAGCCAACTTCCATCACAAAAATATGGTTGTTGAAACAACCTTAATCCAACTGATACAGTGTCAAACACGTGGCCAATTTTTATTTCTATAACAATAAAAGTCAATGACAAATGTATTGTTATACCTCATGTATCCAACTTTAATGACAAAAACATCCAGAACATCCAGAAAGACTTAGCCCACACTACACCACAGAGAAGGTGTCACATCAAGAAAAGTCCTACCCTTCAACCAGACCTTAAACAAAAAGCGCGAACACAACTCAAACAATGGATAAGGCTGCGCCTTGAGTGGAGTTGGGGTGGGAGGACCAGTGAATTCATGTCGTCCCACACACGGTAACACTGCACTCGCCTAGCATAGATGCTGCACAGCACAGACAACCACAGGGAACAAAGACCTCAATTATGTGGAGCTCTAACAGGAGAGCTAAAAACAGGACCATGGGCAGGGAATAAAACCTTGGAGGCGCTGCAGGAATGCTGAGCATTCAAGCACCATCGACACACAACACACTGTCACTCCCAAGTCACGCTGCCACCAGCGCTGAACTTTCTCCAGCCTCCATGAAACAGGGCAGTGTTCAAGTGACTGGAACAGAGGACTCCTATGCTTACTTGCACCCAAACTTGTCAAGTGCGTAACTGCAGTTTCAGAACAGTGCATGATACAGTGGGGGGAGGGAAGCTGTGTATGGTTTCTTTATACCTTGGGTTACTGACCCATATACACTGCAGGGTAACAAAGAGGAATATTAACCCCTGAAAGGCAAGTCTACAAAACGTAAAACAGGAGTTTGGGGAGGGGTCGTGCAATAAAGGTCAAAGAAACAAACTCATTAAGTAGCCTGCACAATTAGAAAATGTATTACACAAGACAGGATCACTATTATCTCCAAATAGCTTCTCCACAACCTCTGATTTAATACATTTTGTCTCAGTGTTTCTAGCAGAAAACATACTTTTGAGTATGCCTGACCTGACAAAATTGGAGAACGTCTGTTGGCCAGTACTCAGAAACTGTTTGTACGTTGGTGTACAAGAATGGTTTACTTAGAAATCTCACTTCTCAGAACGGTAACTATTTGGAGGTATTTATTGCCCAACAAATATGAACAGATAACACAAGTCATCCATTGACACACAGAAAGTCTGTTATAAAAAGATTTTACAGGGTAAAGATCAAAGAAAGGGGCTTTCATTACCGCCAAGCACATCAACTCTATATAAAAAAGGAATGCATCTTAAATCAGCAGACTCATGGTGGATTGCCATCATCTCTATCATGTGTCAAAATTAGTCAATTAAGACTACACTCAAGCCTGTTTATTACACTTTAGATAAGCCTTGATGAAGCGCTCTGACCCCTGCGTGACAGTGGCACAATGCATACCTAGTTTCTCCACGAGTTTCAGCATGACTCCGCCGATGTGGATTTCCCCAGTGACCCTCAGCGACACGTCCCTGTGGAGGTCGGTGACATGCATCTTCAGTTCCCACGTCCCGTCGGCGTAGCAGCCATCGGGCATCCGGATCCCGTCCAGCGCCATCCTGCCAAGCAGACCCACAGTCAGGTAGGGAGAAGGTGAACTTGTGTCAAATGTGGTGCACGGCCCATGAATGCAAGGTCTTGTTTTTTTTAAATTAGTGGATTTACGTGAGTACTGTTCTTGACCACAGTACTTCACTTGAGTACTTTGATTTCTAAGTATATGCTTCTATAACAGGGAAACTATGCATACATATGCCATTGCATTCACTGTAGCTGTAACCTTTCAGATTAAGATTAGTGTTTACACATAAAAGCATCAATATATTTTGCCATACAATCATGCTATACCGTGGTAGCAGTCCTTATCGCACATCAAAGTCACTTGACTAGTCATGATTGGTGCTACTCAGACTAAAACAACAGTTGCATAATATCTTTTGTTGCTCTGGAAGAGTTTTCCAATGTCGGAAAAAGTAACCCTGATGGTGTCATTGTGATGTCATAGGGGTAATGTGTGCCAACACAGATTTATATTAGGAAGCTTGTGTTAGACACTGGAGGTTTGAATATGTATCAGTACAAAACAAAATAATAGACACTATTGTAGATCTAGTACAATTTTTTTACGGCATTCAATACACTGGACAGACAATTCCATCTTTATCCATAAAACTTCCATTTCAACTGGTTTTGCATTGATATAAAGATATGTATCCATATGATGATATACATTACATATACTGTGATAGAGCATATGCCTTCCTAACAGGGGTCATCCTTCATTGAGAGTACTTTGATACTTATAAATACACACACAATACGTTATTTTAAATATACTTTGCTGCAGATCCAGTACAATCCTGACTGCATTATGCCTATAATGGGAGTTTTCATTCTGCTATTTCTACTTCTACTTTAGCATTCATTCTTCCAGCAACGGCACACTGTTATGACCAAACTAGTGGTAACAGATGAGGCGATTTTAGCTCGTTAACGAACATTTGACCATGAGGGATTATTTAGAGAGGGATGGAGGCGAAACAAAATCTGTTTGCTCATCTCCGTGTCTCTCCTCGGGGCTCCTCGCCGGGAACTAAGGCGCGCCTTTGTCATGTGAAGTCGTTGCCAAAAAGTTACATTATAGCCTGTATCTGTCATTCTTTGGTGTCAACTTGTCCAGCAAGAGAGTGGTCTGGCTATCAAAACAGCCCTTTAATCAATGAACACGGCCCAACAAAGACTTACAGGCCCGTGGCTACAAGTTCAATAAGGACCTACGGCTTTTTACCTCCGCAATATGTGCCGGTTCACCTGTTAAAAATAACGGTAAAGGCCACTCTTACAAATAGGCGGAGGGGTTTAATTATGTAAGCGCAGTCCGTACAACAGCTTCCCCGGCTGCATGCACACTCGCCCAGTCGGTCGTTAAAAAGGAGTAAGTTCAATAGAAAAGTGTGTCAATAAAAAAGCAAACAAACTAGCTCAACTTAGCTAAAAAAGACATGTTAATTGAAGCGGTGGGTTAAATGTGGCAGAAGCGGTACGACGACAACAACAAAAAAAAAGTACAAAACGTTTTCATATTTCATAGCGGCGAACAGGGCAAAGCTTTGAGGACGAAGCATTTAACTCACCTTTCACAAAGACGAAAACACACTAAAAGAGTCGACTACACGGTACAGAACAGGTCCCCCCTCTTTAAATCATGTATAAAGTCTTTTTTGAGGCAATAAAAAACAGAAAGAAATCCCCCGGAGAACTCGCTGAAGAAGAGAAGTATCCCAAACAGTTTTCCTGCAGGCTTCGGCTTAATGGAGTCCAGCCGTCCCTCTTTCTCCCTCCCTCTTTCCAGCAGCGGATAACGTCACTGCTCCAATCCCACTTTTCCTTTCATACTGGGAGCTTTTCTGGTCGCCTACTGGTCCCCCCCTCACACACACACACACACACACACACATTTACACACACTCAGGACCTGTGGGAGTCAATCTTGGGTTAATTCTCCCTTTTTTGACCTTTTATGTTCATCATAAGGGGCCACTTTGTACAAATACAATGCTTCTTGCCATTATTAGTCCAGATAATTTGGTTTTGGTGTTCAGCTTTAACACATTTTTAAAACTGTCAACAATAATGGGACACATTGTCCAGTTATGTAATTCACTAAATACAAGAAAAACAAGTTGTTCTTGTGATTTTTCTTTTCCTTTTTCTTTTTTGTATATTACTTCTCATCATACTTGTAAGGGGTTTAATATTTCATCATTTGATTTAATATTAAATCTTATTCTAGTGCTTAACTACTAAATACAGGCGCAGACAAGTAATAAAAAAAGGTATAATATTTACCTTTTGACATAATTTAAAGAGATGACTGACAAAACCTTCCACCTCTATAGTCGACTAAAGACAAAAAACAAACAAAAACAATCAGGTATTCCTGCGATTTTGGTGTCTGTACCACTGGCTTTGTAAAATATAATACAATATAAGATACGATTAAATCTCAGAAATACAGTATGTGATCAGAATAAGAATTTTGTCAAACTGCAACACTCCAGAGTACAAATTCAATCGTTTGTGTCGAGCATAACGGACATGCAGTTAAGATCTCAAGCTGCCTTTTATGGCAATAGTGCTGCTCAGCCCTGCAGCAGCATCCAGGGATCTTTGGGTCTTTAGCCCCGAGAGTAAGAGCAAAGAATAACAAGACATTTTGTTTTTTGTCACTTTTACAGTTTTAATATGTCCTTAAAGGGTTTCTGCATTTTTGCTTTCAGTGTAGAATCATTCGTTCAGACTGAAAAAGCCCCAGTGGAAGACTGTGAAGTGTAGAAATTAGCCAAGGTACACAGATATCTACTTTAATTCCTGACACATCACATATATCCAAGGTGCATTTTTATGGTGATGTTGCAGCTGTCCCACGCAGAGGTATGTACTACTTCACATACTCTTTGGGGTTTAAAAGTAAAGATATACATTATATTTCATTATTATAGCTAATATAAAATCTTATTCTGGAGTGTAACAAATACACAGAGCTGCAGACAAGTAATAAAAAGTGCAGCAATGACCTCTGACATATAATGGGGGAAAAAAAACACTTCACTAAATACATATGGAAGGTAAAGTACCAGTGTTTCCAAATTGCTAAGTTACTTAAATATATATATGTTATTTCACCTAATTTCACATTTTCTCCTGCATGTACACACTATATTTATCTCTCACACACGGTGAGTCATTATCAGGAACTCAATGAATTACAGAAACTCAATAACAGTTTACGTTCATTTGCTAATACACTTTAGACATCTAAAACTGTCTGCAGTTGTCTCCCAATATAGCCCTGTAACTATGAAAAAATAATCTTATTAAGGTCATCATCGGTTGTTTAATGTCTTTATTTTCCCTGTGCACCAAATTCAAAACTGCAATGGGACGTCGTCATCAGTATGTGTGATGACAGCATGCATGGGATCACTATAAAAGAATGCAATAGCTTGTCATCAGTGTGTGCAGATCAGCTTTCTTTTTTCGGAGGATATTATTGTCTGCAGGTTGTTGCTCACGTCTTCACTGCTGCAGATGAGTAATAACATTTCATACGTACATTCAAATAAATGATCACACATTGACAAGTTCAGGGGGGGAAAAAAAAAAGGACAGAGAAAGGTTGCTGTCTCCTCTCTTTTCCAAAGCACAATACACACCCCAACAGACACTCTCCAAGTGGTCTGCAGTAAAAACCCATGAATCATCCGTGTTTCTGGCTCGGGCCCCCATGAACTCACTCAGCTCCAATCCTCCAGCTCAGGAATCTGGGCCTTCAGACTACAGTCGGCATCAAAGCGATTTATAAACTCTCCCTGCAGCTCTGACCCCCTTGTCGGCATCTGGCACCCGACCCGTTGCCTTTTATAGGCTGTGTTTTAATTGCAGAGTAAACATTTGAGTCAGTCAGATGCGGAGCAGGAGAATCAGATAGGGAGCTTGGCTTGGCTGTGGATGTGGACGAGGAGGTGAAGGGGATAAAGTAGGAGGCAGAAAGGTGGAGGGTGTGAGGGGGACAGCTTCAAGAGGTTTACACTGTCTGCACGAGTCACCTTTAACAAAAATGATATACTTTTTTCAGCATTTGGTGTGACATTTGAGTGGTAAAGGTAAAGGTTTTTATGTTTCTATGCCAATTTAACATAATCTTACAAACCTAAAAACATAATTAATAAAGTCACACAATTATGAATAAGAGCATTAACTGTAAATAGCTCAATTAGCTAAGGGCAATAAATGGAAACAGGAAAGGAGAAAGGGCACAAGACAACAGATGGTCAATAGAGGTCTTTGTTCCAGTATTACCTATAGATGACTGACCTCTTCTGGCCGAATGCAGAACAGCAGGGCAAAATGCATTATTTATGAGCATCACCTCTGTTCTAACTGCTCCCATCTGTGAGCCTTGCCTCTGCAGATGTTGCTTAACTGCATTAAAGCGCTAGTAACTCATGTGGAAGCCACGACTGCTAGTGGATTACAATGCCGCCCATTCACGATCTATAAGTCAGCTTTGTTATTCACATCAGGGGGTGCCTTGGAAAGAATCTGATCCGAGCTTCAGACGAACAAATAGCTCTATTGTCCTGTCTGGAAATGAGCAACGAGACCATCTTCTTCTGTAAATGTCAACCTCCTCCTCCTACGCGAAACCACAAACAGATTCCCAAATTTAATATTTTTTCCATGTTAGATTAAGAAGAAGTAGACATTGTATCCAAATAGAAATGCTTTAATAAAATCAAATAAATACAGTGCTTTGGATGGCAGTTAGAATCCATTACAGGCATGGGTTATTGCACAGCTCTAAGGACAGACAAAACACTTCCATTCAAAGTTAGAGCGACAGTGGTGCCAGACACAAATTGAACACATTTCATTCAATACACCCATGATAAATTTCAACTCTTATTTCTCTTTCTCACCCAGTGACTGATTACATGTGGCTGCAGGCCCTTTCTTATTAACCTCGGAATAAGACTGACGACAGATCTGTGACAGCTTTTTAACTCTTTTACTTAATAATGGCTTCAAACTGGAGTCAACGACAGTGTTGAATCTACAAAACATGTAACAGCAGACATTTCCCTGATGCTTATGGTGCCTTTAACAAGAAAAATATACTGTCATTCAAAATGCTGTGCATTAAATGGTCACATACTCAAAAGTACAATATATCTTGACAAAGTTTTTTTTTTTTTTTTAGCAAGCAGAGTGGCTACAGTTGAAAATCTGTGCTTGAATCAAGAGTTGCTAGAATGGAAAATGTAAAAATTTCACATACATTTTGGAAACAGCCAAATCGCAAACATTGACAGGAACATTGTTGTTATTGTTGTGATGGCCTGTCCACACTTCTACACATTTGCTGTGTCTACACCCACACACACAGTGAGTGACAGCAACAATGGACCACATCCTTGTATTTTGCATTACACGTCTAAGGTCTCCAAGATAAATTGCATGCCTGCCATCCAAGTGGCGTGTTAGAACTGCTTTCTGTATCTATTGCTGCAATGTACAACATGCTCAGCAAAATTAATATATATAATCAACAATGGGCTGCTTTCTACTTCATTTCCATGCAATTCATAGCTGATCAATGGGCAATCACTCTCCCTTATTTGTCCCTGCTTCCATACTACTACCAGGTAGTCATCCGACAGGCAGCCTGTTTTCCAGTCAGTAGGCCTTTGCATATATAACACAGACATTAAAAAAAACAATAAATGGATTCCATTCAGTGGTGGACCAGTCAACAACAGCCCTTGATTGTGTGGAACTCTGAAAGCAGCAGCTTGCGCCACGGCAAATTAAAATATTCTCCTTGATAACTATGATGTTACAACAAGTAGAACACAAAGTAAATTTGACACTGACAATAATCAAGTCTGTCACATGTAACTAACCCCATAAACATAAATTTGAGGGTAATTCCATTTCTTCATCCATTGCAAATGATTTTATTAGAAATCCATAAACAATCATAAGTGGTTTTCTACTCAATAAAGAACACAAAGCAGTTTCTTAGATGTGTGTTGGCACTCTGCAATGACTTCTTGTTCCAACACCCATTAACTATTAGTATGACACCATGCAAAGGGAGTACTTTTCTAACTTCTCCATAATTGTTAGTGGGTGTTTTTTTTTAGGATCTGATTTGACAGGCATAGGATCAATCATTACTGGGGTAGCTTTTCTTAGAACTGCTCGGACAAACCAAGGCAAGAGTCATGATAAGCAGCAAAAAACAACAACAAAAAAGGACCAAAATTATGATTTGCTGCCTTCAGTTGTTGACATTTGTTTTCATTTTGGGAGTAGATTTGCAAGTAGTGTCAGTTAGGCAACGATACATGTTTAGTTGCTGAAAAGACTAAAGAAACCCTTTTTTCACATAAATAAAAAGACAAGCTGACATATCCATTGCTCAAAAAGGGGATAGTGTGAATTGGTCACAAAGAAAGGCAAAAGAGATACAATTAACTTTTGCGTGCAATTTATCACAAAAGCCTCTAAATAAAAAATAAGCTACTTTAACCCTAGGTCATTACTAATGCCGAGCAGCTGATAAGCTAGACACATAAATGTTATTTGGCCGCAAGTTCAATCCCATTTTCCCCATCATGGGAACCAGGTTTTCTATCCAGAGCCTGAAAATTGCTAGGAAAAATATTTCTCTCTTTTTTTTTAAGAAAAAATACATCTAGTACCACTGATTTAATTTGGATATCAATATAAAGATATAACACAGAAAGTTCTCTCCATAACATATCCTTAATATAGAAGAATGGAAATG